AACCAAAGGGCAAGAACTCTGTTTTCCCCAGTTGCCAACAGGGTTTAAGTAGCACAACCTCTTCCAGCAGTGAGCAGGAGTTCAGCCCTCAAGTACTTTTTACTTAATGCCTAACAGAAAAAAGTACTTTGGGAACAAGTTTTTCCAGTGAAATGAAAGCTTCTGTTTCAGTGCATAGATGATGAGATTGGAAGCAGCAACATCTGGTCAATTAAGGGCAGCAGAGTCTTGTCAGTGTTACAGACTTTTTAGTGCAAACGTCTTGCAGAAAATCTAATTATAATGTGCGTTTGACTCATCTGAATCCAGTTACTTGGTGTATTATGCAAATAATTACTTTGAGGAGCACGGTGAAGGGAATATTGCATGCTGGAGTAAAGTGCTGTCGTGACTTCTGAGTGAGAGACTGTTTGTAGTTCCTTAGCTTCAACCATGCCTGTGGACTAACCACACTGATCTTTTTCCAGAGCTCTCAGATCAGATCCAAAGAGCCATTCAGCTGGAGGAGGAAAGGAGACGAGCCCAGGAGGAAGCAGAACGTTTGGAAGCTGACCGTTTAGCTGCTCTGCAGGCCAAGGAAGAGCTGGAAAGACAAACTATAGACCAGATAAAGAGCCAGGAACAACTGGTAAGACCCAGTCATTTTGAGGATCAGATATGCTACTATGCCCTTGAGTAAGGCAAAGCCATCTTGTCCAGGATAAAACCTAGTGCAGTAAAGTACTAGACCACGTCATAGCATCATTGTGGCACTGGTTTCTGTCTTAATTTCTTTGTTACAGTTAACAGTGTTTCTTTGTGCTTGATGGTTGGGTTGGGGATTTTTTAAGAGTCCTTATAATTCCAGTTTTATTATTTAACAGGCTACAGAGCTTGCAGAGTATACAGCCAAGATTGCTCTTCTTGAAGAGGCAAGGAGGCGTAAAGAGAGCGAGGTTGAAGAGTGGCAAATTAGAGTGAGTATCTGCCTTACAAAGTTGCTCTGAAGTTCTACACTTGAGCAGAGCACACTTCAGTGCTTAGCTTGGTGTGACTTCTCTACACACGTGGGGGACAAACATCTGTACAGCAGTGAAGAAGGGCAAACTTGCGGTGAATGTGCAATATGCCTGCAAAACACCTTTCTCCCAACAAACTGTCAAAATTCAAAATGGAAACCTGTATAAAAACTAAAAAGGTGAACATGGTCTCAGAGCCATGAGGAGGGGGAGGGGCACCATGGATAAATGATGCCTGTAATCCATGATATAATGTCTGAAAACATCAGTTAAGAGAAGATTCTGCAAATGCAGCCACACTACAATTATCCATTTTGAGGACTATGCGCTATTGTTGGTGGCTTCCTGGTCAGCATAGTTTAACAGCATATGATGCACTAAAACTAAAAGCAAACCACACAAGGCTCAGAGTGCCCCGTGCTCCCAGTGCCCTCTGACTAGGGCTGTGGGCTGCATGGGGGGGCAAAACCACTGAAGCAGCAAGGAAAGTGCCTGCCTAGTGCATAACTGCATTCAAAATACCAACTTGGGAATCTAAGTTCTTGTTCTATAGCACTTGTGTCTCTTCAGCCTACAGCTCTTCAAATGGAGAACAGGATCAAGATAGCTGTAACTTCCCACAGAACAGTTTTTTCTAGACTGTTTTAGTGGAAGAAGATTCTTTGCTTAGATCTCCTGCACATTACAAAATGAATGCCTTCCTAGAAAAAAAAAGTTCTGTATAAGACTAATAGAGTACTGTCAGCTGCAGAGGTTTAATTCTCTCTTTCTTGCTTTTCATAGTGGATTGAAAAGGCTTGGAAGATAAGCAGTTAAACGTTCATTAATCTGGTTTAAAGCAAGAAATGCATTTAATGTATTTTTTACTCTTTTCCGAAAGGCCAGGGAAGCCCAGGAGGATCTGGTAAAGACAAAGGAGGAGTTACACCTGGTGATGACTGCTCCACCTCCACCCCCACCACCTGTCTATGAGCCAGTGAACTACCATGTCCATGATAACTTGCAAGATGAAGGCTCTGAGTACTCTGCCTACAGTGCAGAGTTCTCCAGTGAGGGGATCAGGAATGACCGCAATGAGGAGAAGCGCATTACTGAAGCAGAGAAGAATGCACGTGTACAGAGTCAACTGAGGGTAAGATGATGTTTGGGGGAGGCAGAGCAATTGAACCAATCTTTCCCAGAAAACATCATTTAACCACTTGGTTAAACACACCACGTATGATAGTTGCTCTTTGATTACAGTTCCTGTAGGCAGTTTAAAATAAAGCCAAGGTATATAAAGATTACTTAAATCATCCATAGTGTTATGGAAAGCATATGTTGTATCAATGTCACTGATCTGTCCAGTCATTTATCAACTGTCCGCTCTCACCAAAGAACTCTACTGTCATGAGCTGCAAGCTTCTTACAAATAACCTGTATTTAATGTTTTTTTTCATATTGCAGGCACTGACAGATGAGCTGGCCCAGGCTAGAGATGAAAATAAGAGGACCCAAAACGATATTATCCACTCAGAGAACATGCGACAGGGGCGTGACAAGTACAAGACGCTGCGGCAGATCCGGCAAGGCAACACCAAGCAGAGAATTGATGAGTTTGAAGCAATGTAATGATACTTGTAAGAAGAAGGAGACAGGACTGTGGGAAAGGCAGATCTTAATGCTGTGTTCTTATTTTGGGGGGTTTTTTGTTGTATTGGTTTTTTGGTTTTGTTGTTTGGTTTTTTTTTTCCTGAGGAGGCATCACTGTATGACACTTAACAAATGTTCTCTTAACCCAGAGGTGTTTAAATCTCCCATTTATTCTGTACCTTCTCTGAAATTGATATAGTTAAAAACTTATTGTACCACTGATCCTGGTAACTTGCTCATGCCTTTGCTTAGTGCCAAAAGGCCTTATGTCACATCTCTCTTTAAGCAAGACAAATTTTAGCAGACTATGCTTCTAGTTGAAGATACAAGTTCTGTGCAGGTGCTGGATTCAGCCCAGTCTAAAAAATAAGCATCTGTGGGTGAATTTTGTGCCATATGTCTTTGTATTATTAGTTACAGTGTGAAGTCCAGCAGTTGAGAAGACAGGTTCTGGAACTCAGGATTTGCAGGCACCTGTATATGCGTGTACAACCTTGCACGTGCTTGTACACCCTGTTTTTCCCTTCCCTTGGTCTTGATGCCTACGTTCCCCCTCCCCAGCCCAACCCCCCCACACACACAAAAGAACTGACAACACCTCAGAACTACTTTGTGTAGAAATTAGGCTTTTTCTGATTGCTGTTCTCAGCTGGAGAATTTCTGCAGTGATGGCTCAAGCGTGGCATAGGGACACTGATATTCTCTTCATGTAACAAGTAGCAAGTACTCTGTTGGAATCTAAATACACTACTGTGTTTGCATTCCAACTTCATTACTGATCAGTTATAGTGTAGTATTTATATATATATATATATAAAACATGCAACATGTGGATTGCAGTACTAGTTTAAAGGGAAATAGTTTTGCTCTGTATATTTTGTTACTTTTCAGATTTAATAAGACTTGCATCTGTAAAAATGCCTAAACAAAACTGTAGTCTGATACAGTGCAGCTGATTATTTACTATAAAGCACTATTTGTAAAGATCATTTTTTTACTTAATAAAAACTGTTATATGTACACATGATCCAATATATACAATTTTACTGCACCTATTTTTCTAACAAATTTTCTAATTTTTTTAAATGTTTGATTTAAAGTTTCAGACTCCAAAGATGAAGGGACTGCTTGTTTATTATCACAGTTGTATTCTCTCTAGTAGAGAGCATTTCTGTGACCATTCTTCCCCCACTCTCCCCCTTTCCTTGAAAATCTGTTAGAAAGTGAGATACAGTATGTTGTCACCTCTTCTCTTCCATTTACAATATCTATGCTGCATTATACGTGAGTTGAATCTTGTGTGGGGTTTTTTTTATTTGCAGCAGCAAACATCTAAATAAAAGATCTGCAAAGTAACAAAGGATGTGGAGTCAAGTGTTTCTTGTGTGGGGTGTGTTCTGTGTAAGGTGTACTACTGCTCTTTTAGTTCCTCAGCTTAGCCTATTAGTCCTTGTGTCTTTAAATCTTAAATCCTTAAAAGCCACACTGACCTATAAAGGAAGAAGGGACAATATTTGCAGTAACAAAGTATAACACAGCAGCAGTAGTTACAGTTGGAGATACGAAGTTTCTACTGACTGTAGCACTACATCTGAGGCAAGGCAAATTGACACAGTAGTTTGGCCTAAGCTTGCGTTTCCACCTGTCCCCGTGAATAAATGATAAACTGAGCTAAACTCCTGTCACATGCTGTACACCCTATGGATCAGACTTGTTAAATCTGTCTTACAGTGGCAGATAAGAAGGAACTTATTACACCCACACTTAGTCTGTCAGCTGTTGTCCTATACTCCTACTGAGGGAGAATTTATACCTTAGCTTTGTAAGCACCATGATGCAGCACACATTTGAGAGATGTGGTTACAGGCCAATGCTTTTTAGCATCATGTGAAATAATAGTGGCAGCGTAGATAATTCTGAAGCAGAGTCATTAGCATCTCCCCTTTGCAGCAAGCGAAGATAAGCTAATTTTCAGTTCTGTGTATAAAACATTAACCTCAGAGTGAAAGCATGTAACTTTCCTGCTGTAACAGTTATTTTCTGTGAGAAGTATTCCTAGCTGTGACTAAATAATGAAAGTTTGGCTATGCCCAGAAATGGAAAACTGCATATTGTCTGGCTACTGTCACTTTGTCAGCATAATGCATCTCAAACTGAGACTGTAATTCCTGAAGAAACAATATTAACTTTATACTCCAGATAGAGACACAAGTTAAAGCCTTTACTTTTTAAGAAATGAAACATTCAGAATGCAAACACATAGTTCTATTCCCCAAAAGCCAGAGCGGGTGCATTTGCAGCATTACCTTTCCCCAGACCTGAAGTATATGTACCACCTGAGTTTAAAATATTACACATGGGGAAGGAAAAGTTGTTGTGTGATAATCTCTCATGATTTAAAGTTTTCCTTATTTGAATGTAGTACAAGTGTGAAGTCCATCCACATGTTTGGGTTGCAGAGCACTTCCTGCCATGGGAGTATTGAATGAGAAACAAGGTCTGTAGAGCCAAACAGCTCCTCTGCAAGAAAGCAAAAGGAAAGGTCAGAGTTACTTTCCACTCAGCTTTACCCAACTTCTGGTCTGATGGACTGGCTAACAAAATAACCTGTTCATCCACTTCTACAGTAATTTCAGCTGCTCTGTAGCTCCTAAGGCTCTAATTGCAATAAATTGTGTTTATACTTTTGAAGTATAAACACAACATAAGCAAGGTTGAAGTCTACTAGGTCATTAATTCTTGTGCCTCCTTTTGATGAGAAATCATTTAAAATTAGCCAATTAATAAAAAACAGTTAAAGGAATACATCTTTAAAAATACAGTAGAGCTCTATTTGAGTTGAGTTAGAGCCAGACCATTTCTGTGCTTGTCTTGGCATGGTCCTGACCCCAAAAGTCACTATGTCAACAAATGGATTTCCTGAAAATTTCCACTGACAACCTTGAGCTTCCTGGTAGACCCAAACTAAAGCACATAGATCAGTTCTTGCAGGATCAGAGCCCAAGACTGCAAGTTGCTTATGACAGAGGTTGGGACTGTATGTATGTATGTATAGGCACATGATAGCAGGTAATAAATAGCATAGTATAATTATTGTTGTTTAGGATGTAAACTAAAAGACCTTTTCCCTAAATTACCTTCAACTTTTAGTGGTAAAGAACTTACTTGCACCAAGCTTGGCTCCTCCTAGGAACTGATCACTTGAGCTGAAAGCTGACTTGTCCCAGACAGTCAAGTGTAGACAAGATTGCTGTAGCTGAGCTGGGGTCACACCATCAAAGACAAACAAGTGTTTCCACTGAGGACAGGCTTCTTTCTTCAGGACAGGAGACTTTTGCCTTACCTCTGCTTGGTTTGGAAGGATAAGACAACTTTCCCAAAAAAATAAAGAGTTCAGCAAGGTTACTGATTTCTCAACAAAAAAACAGAGCATTTCCAATAATCAACTAAGGCCCTTTGTTTTACCTTAAATAGCAAAAAATTCAGTTTAGGTGCAAGATAAAACATGGTGCTAGTGTGTTTATTTTGGGACTTGCACCTTTTCCTGCTTGACGTTAATGTGGTTGCAAGTAGGCTCTTCTGGTCTGCTTTTACTTTGCAGTCACTGACTGCTGAAGGAGACTTTACTCCATGTGCTGTTATTCAATACTGCCTAAAACCTGTCTTTCAGTAGCTAAAATGCTCACCCATTTCACCAAAGATAGGCGCCACAGCAGGTGAAATAGTGTTATGAGATGTAGGTTTACCCCAGTATCATACTTCTAATGGCATCTGAGGCCTGACAACAGGAAAGTAAAACGATCCCACATACAAGCTACTCGACACACTGAAGAAAAATTCAGTCCCTTCTCTTTCAAAATGTCTAGAATGAAGAGGATAAAAGTTTTCAATGTATCCTAAGCTTTACTTAATTCTGCAAAAGTTGGAACTAGGAATGACAATACTGTATGTTTGCACTTTTTTTCCCTCTCTTAATATCTAAAAGCACATCCTTAAACTAATGAACTCTAAATTTTAATGACATCATTAAATTCTAAATTTCAAGACCAAGAGGGTAGGTGGAACTTGTCACCACTCTGCAAACTGCTGCTGTTCTGCAGACAATCAAACAAAACCATTACAAAGAAGTCTGACTAAGAGTGTAGACGACGGCACTTTCACGTGCCAGTCTGCTGATGAAAACATGTTAATACATACATTTGCACAGAACATATGTGACATTTCCTATTTGTAGTGTTTGTTAGGTCTCATACATACCCTTTAACAAAGGAGTTCAACATTCCAGCAGATCTCAGCATGGGCAAGTTCTTAGCCCCAAATATCATAACCTGGAGCTGGCAGTTGGGAACTCCTTGGTCTTTGTTTCCTGAAAAAGGAGTACTTGTCACATGAAATGCCTGGTCAGTTCAGCTCATAAGTTAAGATGCTGCCATAAGTAGGGGAATGCCTAAGTGGTACTACTGAGATAAGGAGTCATAAGGCTGTACTAGGAATATTTGAAAGATTTTGACATATTTGTACAGTGTATGATTCACACAAAAAAACTCCAAGCAATGAGTAGCAGGCTGCTTTGTGATTCCTGTTCCAAAGACAAAGTTTTCTGCTGTGTTTGTGAAATGTAAACACAGGACACTACCCACAGAAGCATTTCTCTGGAACAGTCAGAAGCAGGAGAAACAGCCAAACCCATGGTGTGATACTTGCTCCTCTCACAGCTCTAGGTACAGAGCAGAGACCCAATACACAGGCCTGCATAGAGAGGAAGAATTGAAGAAAGCAAGCTGGTAACTTTGGGGTCATTTGGAAAAGAAAAGGGAACAAAAGTAACCAAACAGCTAATTAGAGCTTCCTGTTAGTCTCTACCTATTGCTATGGTCCTGACACAGAGAGTATTACTAGAGCTCTGATCCTTTATACACTTCTCTGTGATCTAGGGAGGTAAGGAAAATGAGGTTTTTCCTATCTCTCCCACTCAAAGTGCTTGTTTCACTCCACTGGCAGATGCTTGCTCCAACATACTACAGCAATATTTAATGTACCTCATAACTTTTCATTACCAAAAACTGAACCCTGACTACACATTTTGAACCTATCACCCCTCCAAGTGAAACAATCTCTCTAAAATGAGACAACTGGAAAAAGCCAAGGATGCTGGTCTGGTACTCTTGCAGACATCACCCTTCCACTTTTTCCCTAAATTGGCAGTCTCTACCTTGGACAATAAAACTACTGCTTTAGCACCAGAATACCTTCTACTGTTAACACTGTGACAGGTACAAGTTTGCAAAACAGCTGGATGCATCATACAACTGCCATTGTTATGTACAGCTTTTGTCTGTATTAAACAGAACAAATCTATGAAGCTGGCAAATGTTTCAGTTTTAAATAATGTAAAAATTAATACACCACAAAGCACATTTGCCGTAGCTGCTAAAAATCCCATACAGGAATATTACATAGACACATTGCCAGTCCTTCATTGATCTCAATTCTTCTAGCCAAGGGATTCACAGAATCATAGAACCATTTACATTGGAAAAGACCTCTATGAATGTTGAAGCATTTTATACCTTCAAACTGGAAATTTTTACACTGGGTTGGTACCAAGAGTCTTGCAGACAAGAGGAGTTCACCGCTGTACAGGGTAAGATCATCTTCAGGCTTTTCAAGCTTAAGAAAGGGACATACAGAAGTTTGTGTTACTGCAATCATTCTCTTCCACATCTTTCTCACAGCTTATTTATGTTTGTGATACATCTTACTAATGGACTGAATTAACAACATTTTTCCCCTCAGTGATCTCAGAAGGGTGATCTTTTTCATAGCCTTAACTACATCTTGCTCTTAAAATACAGTTAAGAACAAAAACTAAGAATCACCTTGGGCTTGAGTTGATACCAGTCAAACAACTGCACTGAGTCCTCTTCAAAATTCCATGCTGCCAGTGGAATCACTACTTCCCCCAAAAACACCCTGTATTTGAGTGCTCCTGCATGCCACACAGAGATCTGAAGTTGCCGACTTCGCAGCTGGGAGTATTCAATCTTGTACTAGAAAGATAAACAGCATTTACAGAGCAATACACAGGATGAATGCAGGGCCATGCTCATGACCTGCTCACAGGAAGCCCCAGCACAGCATGGCTGAAGGCAGACATGAGCCATGTTCTCTGAGTGTGCTTTGCAATCTGCATATTACCCCAGTATTTAAATGCTAAATAATGCTCATTCAAATATATATCAACATTCCAGGAATACCTTAACCTACCTTGCTAAAGATTTTGATTATTAATTCAGAACTTTAAATAATTCTTGACCATTTTTGCTGAGTTAGGTATTTTTTTCATTTGTTTGCCTTTTTTTTGTTTGTTCCTCTTTTTTTGGTTTGGTTTTTGTTGAGGGCTGGTATTTTTTTATTATTTCTGTTTACACTGCCAGTGGAATTTGGCTGCTCTGGAGGCCAGTTCAAGATCAAGACATCTAATGATGGTGCTAGAACTCCCATTCTGTTCAGTGGACATCTACTTAATGCAGTCAGCAGGGGCAAGGAAGTAACTCAGGTGATGACTAATTAAAGCCTTGATCCACTCCCCAAACATAGTTAGAGCCCTTTGAGACATTGTTGGGTATCTAATATACCACATGGTACATGGTATGTGGGTATCTAATATACCCACATGAGACTGGCAAACATGATACCCAGCCCATAGGTGACCGGCACTGAAAGCTGGAGGCAATGGAGAGGCAAGGAAGTCACTATCCATATTTAGGCTGTTGAATCAGAAGCTGGGTGTAGGCTCTGTGGCTAATCACCCTGAACCACCCTGGGCTCCAGTGATTCCCAGGAGCACTTGCACAGCTCTCACACATGCAACCCCCTCTAAATGCAGGTACCTTAACTTGCAGCTGAAACCCACCACGCTGGATCTCAGTGGTGTGATGTAGTTCACCTGCAATAGCGATGTGCACTTTTGACCTTTTTTGCCACTGTGGATAAACTAATCATTAAATTAACTTAAAAGATTTTGAAGTAAACACCTTTAGAGTTTATGCAGACAGCTCAGGCATGGCTCTCACTCTCCTTTTATCAGTTCTGCATGACTCTGGCATTGAAAGAGGACTATAAAATTAGGAACAATGATTTCAACTGTGGGCTCCTTTTTTCCCCTGAACTTAAACCTTATATACAGACTTTAGGCTGTGTGAGAATTACATACATTACAAAAATGCTTTTTTGTTGTTACCAAATTTTAACTATGGTCTTTCCAAAGATCTTGCCCATTTTGCTCCCTACTAATTCTTGATGTTCATACACACCCAGAGCTGGAGGTACTGCTGAAACTTTTGTGTAGTTCAAGAAGCAAAACTACCAGTTTGTCCCTCCATTAATTTTGTTTCTTAATCTTTGCAAGACAATATGTTACTCATAGAACAAGAGGCTAAAACTCACCCTCTTATGTTCTACTGCAGCTTACCAAAGCACACACACACAAGAAACTGGTTTGCAGTGATCTACAAAACTGGAGCTGGGAACAACTAACAACTAATCCAGCCTCTCCCAGTTGACAGTACTCAGCTTCATATTTCATTAAGTGTCTGTGAAGGAAGAAAAATGGCTCCTATTTCCTACACACAGTTCTTGTAATAATGAAAGAAGTAATACTCAAGACAATAGGGAATTTAAATCATAACTACTGTTCTCTGGTGGGATTATTAGTGTTTGAAATTAGACTCTTCAAAGAAATGGCCTGGCATCAGTTGCACGGGGAAGAGGAAGCAATGTTTTAGAGATGGTGAAAGTCAGTTAGCATTCAGCTAACTGCAGAGAGACACTCCCAGTGTCACTGAGCAAAGGAGTACCACTTGAAAGGAATACTTGTATAAAATTCCAACTGTTCTGCAATACACTCAGTTCCTGAATGTGCAAAACCCACGTCTATAGAAGACACTTTGCTTTTGCCACAAGGTAACTTAGAACAACACCGGTATTAAATAAAAGTGCCCTCTTGGACAAAGGCAGACTCTTCTAACAGTTTGCCATTTACTGTTGCAACTCCAAAAGCATTTTCTCTTATTTGGACTGAAAAAACATAGTTTTAAAAATTATTATTGTCAGTGATTCCTAAATTTGCCCTATCAGGTGGATTCAGAACTTGCAGGATTGTACCATAGAAAAGCACACTTAGCAGCACACAGTTGCAAACCGTACCTTCAAAGTCTCATCAAACTCTGGATCCACTGTGCTCTTTTTGACAGCTGTCTTTCGTTTACTCCGAGGAGATTTATCAGGAAGTAAATAAACCTTAACATACCTTATGTAGAGAGAGAAAGATACGTTGAACATGATCAGAAGGGGCAGGGAGAAAACAATTAGATGAGAGGAGTCTTTTATTTCTTAAACAATTTTATTGACTTTGTAAGTTTCCATCAACAAAATGGCAAAATGTGATTTATATCTTTTCTCAGTAAAAGCAGATAGACTATAAGGAACCCTGTGTATCATTCAGCTAATGTGTTTCAATTCCATTGTAACTCAGAAAGGATTAGGATCTGAATATGAATCCTCTGTTTTCCTACTCTTGGCCTCTGATAAAACAGCTCCTAAAGAAGTCACCTTGCCAGTTGTAGTGACAGTTTTATGATGAAAATGAAGAGCATATTATGTGCTCAAAGAAAAATAATAAACTCAATCAACTTTAGGATCACTACTGCTTGTTCATAAACAAAATATCTTGTCTTCACAACACCACATACCATGTAGCAAAAAAAAAAGGTATTATCACATAGATAATACATAATAATTCATAAGTCTTAAAAACGCTAATTGTTCTAACAGCCACTGGAATGAAAATGAGAGATCATTTGAAGTCATCAAAATTGCCCTGATTCAAGGAAAACCAGTAAAAAAAAGTTTCTGGAAGCTGAGCTGGACCAAAATCCAGCACTAATGATTCCTACCTGAAGTTTCTCATGTGTAGGGCAAGTGAACACTAATACCTAAATATTCTTCTTACTATCAGTTCAGTGGGCTGTAATTGGGTTATGGCTTCAAAATTAAACAGTTTTAGCCATAGAGAGTGCTCACAGCTTCTCAGGGGAAGGAGTGACTCTTTACTTAATACTAAATATTTTTAAACTGTATTTGTTGTATATATTTCATGTATTGTGATTTGAAACAATCTAAAACAGCCTTTTGATTAACTTGCTGGATAAATAAAATCAGTTGTACCTCATATCATCATTGCAGAACTTGCACATTTTTCCTATTTTTTTCTGAACTTATCCACAGATAAAACTACTTTCTAAAATACACAGGTCCTAGAAGTTTTAGCCTCTCTTTCTATGACCCCAAATCAATTAAATTAAAAAGTAGCCAGTCAGACTTCAAACCAGCAAATAACCTAAGTAATTCAACAGGTTTTAAACATCAGTTAAAAGTCTGCTTTTCAGAAAGCATGTTAAGTGATTATACTATACTTTTTCTGTTGGCTGGGAAACCAACAGAAATATATAAATATACCAATAGAGAACATAATGTTTACTACACAGCACTTCCCACATTGTCTTTCAGCCTTCCTGCAATTGTTTGCCTGGCTTAATTATCAGCGGACTTAAAGAACCTTGACCCACTTCTGAAGTGCTCCCAAACTGTCCTGCTACACAAGCTGCTGTTCCTGCAAGGCACTGCTCATCACCAAGCTTGTCCTTATGAATATTCTCTGCAAGATGCACAAAAGCCCTCGACCTTCTGGGTGAAGGTGACTGCAAGTCCTCAGTTTCAATGTGGTTACTTAAATGCTCAAACATGGTGTGACAGCAGGGGCAAGAGCAGGTAGTTAGGTATTCTACCTGTTGATTTTCTGTTAGAGGTTGCTTCGTGGTCAGAGAGCATTGTTAAGTAATAAAGAGATAAATCACCCAGGCTTAACTGTCCAGCAAGAATTTTTTTGGCATATTTTATCCATAGAAGTAAATATTTCTTCCTCTTACAATGGTGCATAATTATTGAGCAGTTTTAGACTTTAAGATCCATTGCAGCACCTGAAATTTTTACTCTTATTACAGAAGATGAAAGCACCTAAGTAGTACAGCAATCACCCAATGACCCACAGTGAGTCAGCAGACACATTAGGAACAGGTCATCTCATGTTTCAGCCACTTAGATATTAATTTTCTGGGCACAACTTAAGAACTAAGATCTGAACAGCTATTCTTGAGGTCTAAAGGTACTCATCAGCAACATAGATAACCAGCTGCCTGCTCACAGGCAGGGAAAAGGACAAATCCTAGCAGAAAATGGTCAGAATGGAATAAGCACTGGTATGAAACCTATTTGTCTTGCAATGTGTATATGTACAAAGGGCTGGTATGTATGCTGGATGTTCTGAAAGTGCCAGTGTGGCATACCATCATATATCAATCCATTTTAATCACAACATGCATAAGTATCTAAAAAAACCAGAATATTTTCCTTATGTTTTTTCTCCTTCTCTGCAAAATACTTACGGGTTACACTTTTTCTTCTTCTCTTCTCCATAAGCCAGGTTCTTGCATCCCCTGATGCAAATTTCCAAGATGCAAGCTCTGAAGATGTATCTTAAGGCAAACTCTATTTCTCCTGTGACATTAGCTTTGCCAAAATTGCCAGATTCAGTGCAAGTGCTGTTAAGACTAAACAAACTCCCCTAAGAAAAGACAAACATATGGGAAAACGAGTTTCAGATCAAACAGGACAAAACATTTATTTCCTTTAGTAGTCAGTATCTTTATAGACATGACTGTAAAGCTACTGCATATCACAAATTTAAGGTAACCTGTATAAAACATTCCATTGCTTCCATAACAGCCCTGAAAATTATGACTGCAATTGCAATACTACAGCTTTGCCCTCTTCTAGGGCAAAGCTCTCCAGGCTAGGAAATTGTTTTAAGTAACTTCTAGATCTAGAAATTGTCTTTGAATAAAACTGCTATGTCATTTCCCATGAGAAAACTGGGTAAGTGTCTGAAAGGGAGTGAGAAAACCCTCTGAAACCTAAGAATGTACAAAGCATTGGATTAGACTCCTTTTAATACATAGCTCGTAGTAGAATACACCACTGAGACATTAGGTGCAGTCACGTATTAAAGGAAATAAAAGTGGCCTGCACATTCAGTAAATACTTTAAAAGATGCCCCAATTCCACATAAAAATGACACACTTTGTACTGCAGATCATTCAGGAAAGATTAAGACTTCCAGTTGTTGCATTCTGGTGCATAGAGAAGATGTTTCCTAGTTCACCTTGTTCTCCTTTCAATCTGCTTTCACCTTTGGGGCAAAGGTTTGGATGCTGTCCATCCACATATACAAAAAGCACTTGCATCCAGCATTACGGAAGCCACGACAGGGCAAAGAAGGAAGAGACTATAATGCTTTCTGTGGCCCAGCCCAGATACTTAACTTATGGTGCTATGTAGCCTTCACTGTAACAAAGTATCAACTAAAAATAGTTTGGTCTCCATTCATTTATAATGATATTCTTTAAGGTGAGACCTAGGAACTTTTTACATCGCATTTGCCACGAAGACTCAACTGTTGTTGTGATTAGTCTCACAGCAACATTGCTCTAGATTGCTAAGATACCTGTGTTAGGTCACTCCTCCCTCTGAAAATAAACACCAACCCACACAGGACTGGTTAACCAAGGAGTTCTGCATTGCACAACCCAGCAGCTAAGGCTGCAGAGCAGCGTTTATAAGATCGTATCTCTCTTCCATGTAGATACTTTTCTTCGTTGGTGCAGCATGCCAGATGCTCAATTCACACCACCAGATCCATTAGATTAAGGCAGCTATCTACTCTATCTTATAAACTCTAAGTAACACACATGCATGACAAACGAAGGGCCAGAGTGGTTACTGAGGAAGTCAAAAGAAGTGTAAGGACTTTTTTGACCTGATGCTTGTGACATGCAATCTTGCTCGTTCCATGAGATGCGTATCACTGTAATCAATCTCTCTTGCAACTTTGTTTTGCTCTGCTCTTTCACTCACTGGCATATTTTTATTCACCTGACCAGAAAATGATTATTTTTCACCAAAATCCTTTGTGACAATGGAATACAAAGAGTTTTGTCTTAGCTCATGTCCTAAAAAAAAAAAAAAAAAAGTTCTGTGAAAGTCCCTAATATTTATTCCACAGAACACCTTATTTATTTAGAAAGGCTGGGTAAGTGTTCTAGACTGAATATCACCACAACTCTCCCACCTGCTCAGGTGTCACATACATTCAATGTAGAAGTCACCATCCTTTTGGTTCAGTGAACAGGGATTTAGCAATGATTTCCTGCATTGTACTTCTGATGGCACAACTGAAAGCAGTGCCATCTGATATTTTGGAAGATACATTTTTATGGAGTGGCTTTCAACATCCAGCACTTATCCATAAAGAGAAGCTTAATGGAATTTGTTCCCTCTTATAAGATAGTAGAAAAATATTACAGTTTGAAGCCTGAGCCATTTATAGCCCAGTTCAAATGGTTGTCATTTGCATCAGAAATGTAATCCATAAGTTATTACCCACTTGTCAGCTTAACACCTCAGACTCCACAGTGCAGTAGACTGTCAGAGAGCACCAAGGTCTCTGTGTGTGTTTATGTCTCTCTGTAAAGCCAGGAGACTGGTTTAATTTTGAGTCCCTAAATCATTTTGCAAGGTCGGTCATGAATTCTTTGGATACTTCACCCTGCTTAACCTCATCACTAATACATAGAAATTAGCTTCCATGGTTAATCATAGAGGCTTTAAAGCATGTGCTGAATTCATTTATAACCAGCTTCCCTCTCTCTCATCTGCAGTATTCAAAGTGCCATCCATCAGAGGATGATTCAAGATTGTGCCCTAAGCCTATGAACTACTCTCCTGGCTTCCATCACTGTCAGTTTCCTCTTCATTCACTGACATCCTGACATTTGAATTTCCACTGACATTTCCAATACCACAGTTCTTGCAGACTGACAAAACCCTCCTGTTCAATGAAGCTTGAAGAGAAAAAGCTAGCTATTAGATTACAAAGTACTATGTTCATAATCCCAACCTTAATATAAAATAGGAAAAATGTTAGTTGCACTTGCAAAATTCAGAAGCCGCCATTTAATCAATTATTCATTATTAATGGATGTACCCATCTCTCAATTATCCATTATTAATTTCATTTGGCTCATGCTTCAGAAAGTTCACAGTGTTACTATGAGAACTGTGACAGTCAGTTTTTCATCAGATACAAACTCAAGTGAAATTCTTCATTCATTTTTTAATATAATCTAAAATACACCAATATTTTGCACAAGCTGTTATATCTGTTCCCTTTAAGAACCCTTTCAGTTGTCTTTCATCCTTTAACTTACATATTTTCTGCCATCACAGAAAACTGTATCACTTGTGGCACTGGTTGTTATGTCTTCTTCTTCCTTGCAACTACTCTTTGTCAGAATTTCACTGTCATTTTGGGGCCCGGTGATGAGCTGTTGCAGACTGGGTGTACTTTTCATCTGTAAGAAATTCAGAAAGTTTTTGTTTGTTTGTTTTTTTAATATAAAGAAAATGTCCTGATTCCTTCAGGAAAGCTATCAAAAGAAAATTCAGTAAATAGCTATAATTGACTCTGATCCAGGTCATACAGGTGGCACACTTTCAAATATCATGTAGTAACTTAACTGTTGATTTATAACTCTCTCATTCCAGCTAGTAGTACATTCACTATATTAATAATTTTCTAAAATCAGCATACCACCAGCTAATGTAATTATCACTACAACAGCAATTATTAACAACGTTCTACTAACAGTAGACCAAAAGTAGTAATATACTAATAAAAGGCCTTATTACCCCTTAACAAAACAGTAATTTTGGAAGAAAAAAAAATAATCTTGCCTCCAGGAAATGAAAAATAGTATTTTGCAAAATGTATGACACATGCCCGTGTTTACCTATGCAAGAATGAATGTATGTTGAAAGAGAGTTGAAAATAGAAAAAGACAATTTCATATTTAACTTTGTTTATAGAAAAAGCTCAAATTTCCAAGGTGTTCTTGACTTTGCTTTGACTGTGTCTGCTCACCTTTCCAATTTTCCCATGAAAGCCCTGATAATTTGAGAAAGATTGATAGATAGATAGATATATATATATATGGCAAAACTCCTTGAGATTTTTCTTCAGCCACCTCTGTTACAAAAAACAACAGTTAACATAAAGAAGTGCCAAAAGACCAATACATTTGGCTAGAAATATGCTGAAATTAGATTTTAGCTCATTTCAGCACACCACTTTCCCTGGATAATACAATCTATGAAAAGCACGTTCACAGCTCAATGGGTCCGAAAAGAGTGAGGTAAGAAATTTTATATGCTTAGGATATAAGGAAATAATTTCTTTTTCAAGTTATGTAACAGAGGTTACCTAAAAGACTAGAAAGAATACAGTTTGACTAAAATCAACAAAAAGAATTGGGACTTTTTTGTATAAAACAAACAGGTAATATATATTTAACAAACCTGAGAACCCCTCCTGCACAGTCAGCAGAAAGCACTAAAGGATGGGGACAACCAATGAGATAATATATTAAGATCACTTCTGAAGAAAACGGGATGTGTAAAATCCTAACTAGTAGGCTTTTATTATAGCACACAAATACTATTATGTGTAATAACTGCCTTACCTTAAGAAGAGATGTGAGAATTATGTTCCCTTGTGAGGGGGAAACAGACAGAAAATGCATTGAGAATATAGCCTCAAAAATCCCAAACACAACTAAAATAGTGTATTTCCCAGAACACCACTGATTCAATTTGCTAAACACAACAACCTACTACACACTGAATTTTAGCTTCTACTTGGATCAGGAAGACTTCAGTTGTGCCATACAGACAAAAAGTGACTGACAAGGCACCACATCTACCAGTGCTAAACTTGGCATCAGGCGGCATAAGCAAGACTCCCCTGTAGCCCAGCTCTAATGTCACAGGAGAGGTATCCCACAGCTACCAATGAACCACAAACAGCTTCCACAAGTTGCACGTGCCTGCTTGTTCCCCCAGGAAGGCAGGTATAATTGCAGTTCTCTTAATAAACTTTGAGGTTCTGATGGCCAGAGGCCACTATTCAATTAACTTCCCAAATCCAGATTTTACACGGGCTGGTAGTTCTTGCCATTGCACTGGGGTTTTCTCATTAATAATGAGGTTAAATATAATCTCTTTAAACTTTAGTCTGAAGGAATTGAGCTCTGAACACATTACAAATATAGAAAACTTATTTAAGAAACAGATAATGTTCCTGAGACTGAAGTAGTGCCCCAGTTTTACGTATACTGCACATTTAGCTATTACTTTACAGTCCAAGAGAAAAACACACACTTTCTAGGGAAAAAAATCCCACTATTTTGATTCATTCTCTGAAAATGCAAAGTTCTCTCTGGTGTGGAAATCACAACAAGTAAGATTTCTATATCATATTTCGTTATAAATGTAATTAGTTGTTTTGCAAGTGTAATTTAAAAGAGGTTCTGTCCCATAATTTAAGGCCTAGTTCTAGTAGGGATGTAAACAGCTACCCTTACTAAAGGAAAACAAAGATGGGAAAGAAAAAAAATAAACTGAAGGATAATAAATAGTGTCATTGACAGAAATTAAGAGTAGTTTTTAAACTCACAGTAAAGACACAAAGTCATCATGTAAGTGTAGGAACAGAAGAGTAAAATTTCCTTCAACATGAAAAAAACTAAAATGTCAAAGATTAGATTTACAAGAAAAAAAAATCAACAGTTATTCTAGTAAAACTAAAATTCTAGCTTAAGGGTAGTCTAACTGGTTTAAATGAAACAAAAGGTCTGTGGCTCAGAGAAATAGTGCTCAGGCATACAAACAACATTGAAATCTATCCTTCGAAACATGCAATGCAAAATGTGGACATAAGTTAAGTCCTAAATCTTTAATTGGGCAATCAAAACCCCACACAAATAATTTAGAATCTCCTACTAATGCGTTTCTCAAGCCAAAGAGTCCATATCCATCTTTGAAACATGACTGATTGTTTGTGATCAGTGTGTGATGTAGCATAGTTTAAATCCATATTATCTCCAACTCCAATGCTTTTCAATGCATTAAAAGAGCAATGGTCTGCCTGTGGAATAAAGTTAACACTTGCCACAATGAAAGGAGCACTCCAGTAACCAATAATTGTTGCCAATTCTGTTCATAATTTAATTGCATACAAAAATACCAGAACTAATTTCACAGAGTTCACGTTCTTGCTGGGCCAACTCAGACTGCTAGTCCATGCAGTTTGACATCCCGCCTCTTCCATTTAACAGCACCTGAGACTTCAGAAGAAAGTGAACAATGTGCACCAAGGGAGCTGTGAGTAATGTGTGCCATGAGTTCTGGCCCAAAGTGAGAGCTTTTCTCAGCATCTAATTCAGGCACTTAGCACACCACATTTACCTCATTCAGATGAACAAGGCAATTCAGTAAGTACTGACTGTGTGGAAAACGGACTATGGACAAAGTTCAGTCACTTGAGAGCTGAAAGCATACAAAACAAAACCTTCAGTGTAACTTTAAAGCAGAAGTGTGACATCATCTTCAGCCCTGCACAATTTGTGGGAAAACAGATGACTGGATTTTTCTCAAACTTCTCAAGAAAACACAAAGCTAGAGACTGTAACCAAAGCAAAAGGAAAGGGGAAGTTGCACAGCAACTAACAGCAATGTTTTCTCACTGCCAAGTTAAAAAATGCTCACAGAGTGCCAGAGAGGATGGTTTAGTTATGGTCACAGCTTGGTCCTGTTCAGCAGCAAAAGGGGCAGGAAGAGGGCAAGACAGAGCACATCCCTGTAGCACAACAGTCACATAGAGCAGACACCAAATCAGCCTCAAGAGAGCCTGTCAACACCTGAGAGCAAAATGACCCATTCCCTCCCTCCCTATATGAGGGTCTTTGTAAAAATCTCAGTCTAACATGTCAACTCAGGACTGAAATCAATTGTGCAGACTCTGTCAAAAACCTTGTGAAGAATCAGAGTTCTGATCATGGTCAGTGAACATCAGCTAAACCCTGTTCATACAATAAGAGTAAAACTCCACCGTGTAAGTCACTGCTCTCACAAATATTTTTCATTCCTGAAACAGCTCTTACATTAGAAAGTGTGCATAATAATATGGATACCTTGCTTGTAATGTTGATGGCAGTGTCAGACTGGCTCCTTCTTTGTCGCCTTCTTTCCACATTCTTCCCACAGTCTGTGGTTAGGACACATCTGTCAGTCATATCATTCTGGGACTTTGAGATTTCTGGAGAGAAAAGAAAGAGAAAAGTCACTATAAAAAACTTTGCAAGCAATCCTGTCAATTTATAGGCTAATTCTGTAGCTTTCAAACTTTCATCCTGCAACTTTAGCATTGATCTCCCAAGAGTAAGAAACAGATGGGATGACAAGTGCTTGTCACATTTTATGTAATTATACTTTGCCTGCCTAAATCTTTCCTGCTATTTCAATTGGAAATTATACTTTTTGTTGCCTATCATCAGAGTTACTGTCATCAAATACAGTTTCCTTGCAGAAATAGCTACTATAGTCCATGTGTATAGTTTAATTTGTAAAGTGGTTTGGTTCACAATAAAAGCAAAATCATAATAAGAACATAAAGCAAAATGACAATGAAAATCAGAAAGCACAGCATATTGGAAAATATTTAGAAATTTATTTAAAGTATGTATGAAAGGAGAGATACTGCATACTCTGGTCCCAAACCACATATAATTTTAAGAACATGAGTAGCCCTCATTGGCTTCAATAACATTACTCATGGATAAGCTTATCCATACTTAAGGGCCTTATTGAATTAGCGCTTCAGTAACATCTAGTTTATTGTCAAATAAATCTACAGGACAGTTGGACATTTAATGCACCACTTTTCACTTCTTATTCCTCAGTGTACATTCAGAATTTCACTTAAAGGGAAGGTCAGCACTCATCCATGATTTCTGAAGTTGAAAATGAGCAGGCTGAGCGGCAGGCACTTTGTTGCTAATCCCAGATAGCTATTTCATGTACCACTTATAAGTTATTAATTCTTCATGAGAGACTATCATATATTTAATTCATATAGAAGAAATAAATATTTTTCTCACAACATGAGCCTCTGTGAAGAAAGTTCTCAGGCAGTAGACAATATGACAATAATGTATTGAAAAACAATGGGACTCAAGTGTAATTTTTAAAGATACTCTGGGTTAGTTTTGTTCTTAGCAGCAATCAGTCCTCAGATGTTTACTGTACTCTTTGTACACCATTAAGGAACCATGTGACCTAGTCAAATGGAGGCTCAATTAAGCCACCTCTGTAAATGAAACCAGGTTTTTAAAATACACAGTGAAATCAGAGATCATAAAAGAGACAGGAGTGAGAGTTCTAATGGAATAGATACAATCTGAGTAGCTTGAGCAGCAGTCAAAGCAGAAACACCAGCTTACCTCTCACTCTCTTAAAATGAACAGGTTACACAACAGGTTACTGTGAGAAACATGAATGTTCAGTTTTCATATCTATTCCTCCTTTGGCTTCTCTACCCAAGTGTCAGCAAGATGGAGACTATTTCTAGAGCCAAGGGTGACTTTTCACTGCAAATAAAACTACAACCAGCAACTCATTTTACATTCACCAAATGGCAACCCTTGGATTATAATCTGCTGTTGCTGCCAAGCCACGCTGGAACAGGAGGTAACAGTGTAAAGAGCAGACTGTACAATGGCCGCTTTGTGCTGCACGTGCTAATCCTTTGTTCCCACTGCCCTCAGACACACACACACCAGCTCCAGTGATAGAATCAGAGGCATAACGAGGTTCTCCATGTTGATTTACTGCAATGCACAAGAGCTGGGTGTATTAAATACCTCTGCAAACCAGGACATTTTTATCTAGATAAGATACAGAGTACTAACTTTAGACACTCGTGACCAAAAGCATCTACCAGCACAGCACCAGGCTTCACTGGAGGCCATATTGTCTGAAAAAGCTGGTTTCTTAAGAAACCCAGTTCTTTCTCTCTGTAAGACTTCAGTGATTGCAACAACCTGTTATTTTGTCACAAATTGAACCACTCTACCCTAATCCAGGATGATAGCACCTGCGTGAGGTTTCTCATACAGCTGAGCTGATCTAACAACTTCCTGCCACCTCCCTCTTCAACCACTGCTCTTCCCTCCTCAATCCCTAGCTCCTGACCTCATGGCACCATCCACTGTACACATTCCAACATATATATCCTACCTTGAGCCTATTGAACTCACTAAAACAGCAGAAAAGTATCTATATGTTTTGACTAGGTTAATGTTATGCCCTTAAAATTAGCTAAACCAGTATACGGAGGGATCCAGAAACACTAGTGCCAATTCAAGTCATGGTAGCATTAGGCTAGAAACAGAGAAAGAAGAAAGACATGAGTGGAGGAAGACTTTCCATTCGGTAGCAGTGAACTAATACATTAACTTGCTGCAGTCCTGACAGGTTTTACCGGTAACTGTGTGATATGACCAGGCTTCAAACTATCAGAAAGCTGAATAAATTACTTTGCATCCAGTTCAGCGCTACCTAAGCTATCTGATTCCAGTAATAGTGTCCTACACCACCCTATACTTCTATTTGGAGCCCCAGTCACCATGTCTCTGCATAGCTTTAATGTGTTCACACAGACACAACACTGAATTTGCATAGTTAAAGAAAAACAGGCCATTAGGATGGGTAGAAGAAGGTAAAGACCAAACAAGATGTAAGGCAAGAGGTTAGGGGGAAAGGCAGAAAGGCACTAAAGCCAGTTTCGTTCAGGTCTGGTCTCACATGTGGGGTTGTGTAAATTGATGCTAGTAAGAAAATATTAAGGTTTGTTCAAATACATGCAAATTTGCAAGCCTCTGTAATCTTCCTAAGGCTCAGAAGTTGTTTTCCTCTGGTCATCGATGCCTTTAATTTGTTTTTCACACAGGCTGGCTGTCCTTAGTGTAGTTACCCTTAGAGGTGCACACACAGTCTGCAGCCCAAGGAACAGCAGGCAGCATAAGAGAATGGAAGCAACCAAAAGTATCAGAATGAAGAAAGAATTGTTAGGACTGGATGGCACTTAGAAGTATGCACTGAAAAAAACCCACTCAGCTAGGCAGACTGAGAAAGAGGAAGGAAGACCTCATGAAAACTGCCAGTAAATGAAAATATTAGACTCTATTTCCGTTAAATGACAGACTCTTTGGCGGGGTCAGTTGTGGTTCAGTCAGACAGAAAACATGAAGATCAATACAGCAGAAACTGGTTATTACTCTATGCTGAGTTAAATACAGTGCATCTGAACACTTGGTAAACTTAAAGATTGTATAATATAGTTTTTTCATCTTTACAGAAAAGCCATTCTTGGTTGATATAATCAGCTTATTTAAAAAACAACAGAGTACTGAAGGAGAATTAGATTTACTGTATTAACTTTCAGGTTGGCACAGCCTTAGCATTAATAATTTCAGCCATTACTCAACATCCTTGTTTTATAACTATTTCTTGGCCAACACTGTGGACAAAAAAATCGAAACGCTTGACTACATTACCATAGAATGACAAAACAGTGAAAACTACTTACTTTTTATATGTGTTGTGAGAGACAAAAACAAGTTTTCTACAGATTTATTAAACCTTTTAGACTCTCCAAGTTCCTGCAAATGGGAGATGCCATGAGTAAGAAAATGTAACATTTGTCATTTTAAACTGATTATATCAGATGGTAAAGCTGCATCCCTTTGCTCACTTCTGTAGAAGTATTCATAAATACAGCTAATTACATCACCAGTTTGTTGTAATGTAGTTAATACTTTTATCTATTACAGATGTTCCTGTGCCTCTGAATCAAAGTTTTTGTCAAAGTCCAGGTATGCATATAAGATTGTTTACAGAACTGCAATGGGCTTAGACAACAGAGCCTGAGGATCCAGTCCAAAATGAACTGAAATACTAATTCGTTGCAGTTTTTATGAGTTCTGAACCGTGTCCTACTATTCTGTCCACTAGAAACTGTTGCAAAGGCAACCATCAAATTCACTGTTCTTCACTCAATAATGAAAGTGACACATGAAGTGATCATTTTATAAATAACTATTGAATGTCTTAGGAACATGGGATCCCCTTCAGGTTTGAGGAAGCTCAGGATATCCCAGTCCAGTCTTCCTGTAGTGATGCACCAAAAACCAGATGCAGCATTCTAGTGTCAAGTAGTTAATCACTTCTCTCAAAAACTGAAAACTAAGTGAAAACAGCCCTCATAGCCTCTAATCTTTTTCTACTCCAGCCAACGCAGCCTAAAAATAATGACAAAGAATATAAGGCATCATTTATACAGCAGTGTGATGTTACAGCAGTTGTTGTTTACAGTATTTCTGTGGCTGACCTTTACATATGAATGAAACTCTATGAGGTGCATATATATACGTATATTTTGCAGATACATACACTTACCATCACATTGGTTCCTGCTGTTGATTGTGTGAAAGGAGGTGGAGTTGGAGGTATGACAGAAATTTTACTGGAAATGTAAGAGATTAACAGTTAACAACATTCAATATATTATGCCAATAGATGGATAAATAAACCATGCCCATGCATGGTTTTTATTTTTATAATAGTATTATTTTTATTACATGGTCCTTCTGGTACTCTATAAAAATCTGGGTTGACATCCCATGTCTTTAAGAGTTGCAGCATAGGTTTGTTACCTGTTCCTAAAAATTAGGTCTACCTTTCTATCTTCTTAATCACTGGCTGATCTAAGTAAAATTATTAAATTAGAACTACCAGGAAGACCTAATTTAGGACAGATTCCCTAGACTTCTACACAGCTGGCAGTATTACAATCTGTGTTCTAAAACACAATTCCTGTATGACACACCCCATTTCTACTTCAGAGATGTTTTCAGAAAACAGTCATCTTTATTTACAATATTAAAAGGATCCTTTCTTGCCTGGGTCCAGAGCTGTTAGAGACCCTTTACAGCATTCCTGCCATTCCATCTGTGGTAAATAGTGCTGATCTGTGAAAAAGAATCTGTTATCTCTCTGATTCTGTTATCACAGCACAATCACAGACCTTGAGGCAGCTGGTGAACTTCCTTTTTGATTCTCTTTTAGTTTTACCACATCTACGTAAGAGCAAGCTCTGGTTAGGATCTTATCTCGCTGACTATAAGTTTCTGTCTTATGCAGCTATGCCTCACCAGATAATTATAATAAATTGAGGCCATCTCTACATATCTTACTTTAAGTGGGATTTCAGGGGTGGGGGAGGGGGTTTGGTTGGTTAGTTTTATTTTCGGTGGTTCTTTTTGTTGTTTTGGTTTGGTATTGTGTTTTAAGGAAAAGGGTTACTTTAATACCATGTAGTTTAAGCAGACTGTTATTTCATTATATATCACTGGTAATAACTTAAGTATGGGCATGCTTCAGCCTCTAGTCAAAGTATTTATTCACTGTAAATTAGACTTTTTACTTTTTAAAAGTTTGGTAAGTGGAAATGTCTAACTGAATACAGAGCTTCCTCTCTACTATTTATTCTAAAACTATCATATCAGCGATATCTCCCGTTGAGCAAATAATGATGCTATTATGACAACTAATAAGTAGTTTTCATCTATGATCATTGAAAAGTGTTGTGCAAATTTAAAAGATAATGGTATAAACAGTTATGCAAAAAATATAAGCAGATAAAAATAATGGATGTCCCTTCATGTCAAGGAAGACACTATTACTCCAAACATAGTACTCTCTGTTGTACTTGAGATCCTTTCTGTGGATTGCTGACAGATAAAAAAAAAAAGTGACCATTTTTCTACATTTTTGTCATTTGTATTCCAAAAGTGTTGAATTTTCATAATAAAAAAATACAAGCTGCTGGCTAGTTTATAACACAAAATAGATTACCTATACAAATTCTCAGTGTCCTAGGACCACTTGTACTTTTGCGTCTTACCTCAGTTTCTGGTAAGATTTCAAGAGCTTTGCACCAGCTGTTTCATGTCTGCCTGCAAAGGAAGAAAAAAAAATATCCAAAGGTCATTTAGCAACAACAGCAGTTACTAATGCCTGTATAACGCACTTTTTAAAACCAGTGCCTTTCAGGAACTGGCCTGTATTTACAGAAACTCATGCACACACAAGTCGAGAGTGAAATCAATTCCCACCTAATGTATCAGCATACGTGCCAAGCAACACAAATTTCTCCTGTGTCACAAACTATCATGATTTCACCTCTCACAGGTGACGTGTTCAGACTAACTCTTCACAAATGCTAAGGACAATCACATACAGATGCTAACAGGCTCATTCCTACAGGCTGCTAAGTGCTCTCAGCCTCCTGAAGTCCAGGAGGCAGGTAGTGCACAGGCCCACTGCACTAAAACACACTTCAGCCATAAAACTCAAACACTAAGGAAAGCTTGAAAATGTTTATAAGAGCAGGCACACGGTCATCTATTGCATCTCATGAAAAATTCCTCTCGCTTTTCCTACGAGAGACCTGAACAACCATGAAAATGCTTGACTAGCTCACAAACACGAGCAACACCCTTTGTTAAGACCATCCCTGCAGGGAAATAACAACCATGTCACATTCCTCAGGTGAGCAACCACATGGTGTAAAGAACACCAAGGAGCAAGCGCTTCATCAGGCAGGAAGAATGAAGGCTCATAAAACTCTAGTTTGTTCCCAGGTGATCACAAACACAAAGAAGGACTAAAAGCATGTAACAAATGGCCAACTGAAATTATCTGGAGTATCTTTAATCACTAATAATTCCTAATTCAGAAAGCAGCATGTAATCCATGTTTTGCTAAAGATGTCATTAACTATAACACTGCTTACATAAAAGTAGTAGACCTTGGTGGTGATAGAAATAATAACCAGCTCATCAATATTACAGCTTTCAATCAGGACTCCATTATTCATGCTCTATTATTAATAAGTAATATTGACTATCTTAGATTTTAAATTTATTAGTCATTAAAGGCAATATACCACTTTTATGAAAATATTGATGTTATTCTTTAGGTAGAAGCTACACAAAAATTACTAAGAAGCATACTGATGTCATCTTTGGGGTTTTTTTAGTCTGTAACATGAGAAAACTTCACTGTAACATGTTGGTTTTTTTCAGTTAAACTTACTTTCCAGTGAATACTTCAGTTACGCTGTATTTTCATACCAAAAGAGGGCACTGTCTCTCCAGGACTGAAGGATGCACAACAGCTGTTGTGTTTTAGTTTGCCATTTTTTAACCTCTTTAATTATATCAGCTGGTCTAATCAAAGGAACTAAACAAAACATTTTTCTCCCTGTAGGTTTATCTGCTGTGTATCTTTAGATCTTTGTGACTTCAACAGTATATCTAAGCAAAACGCTTCAAGCACCCACAAAGCTTTGATAATTCAAAGTAAGAACTCATTTATTTTGCTGGAAAAAGAGACCGTCAGTATCTTCAATAACAGAGAGACTGATAACATTACCAGCTTTAGACTCACTGAAAAGATTGAGGAGAAATTATTAACAATGGTTATTGTTTAAAAGTGTGATTTTAAAGATAAGTCAACTAGTACTTTAAAATCAGAAATTGCCTTAGCTAGAATGGACTGCAGTGAAATCTTTCAAATTTTAAATGAACTTTTTTTAGCAGGAGTTGCAGTTTAATTTCTTAATACGCTATTTGCTGTCTTTCGTGAACACCTACTACCTAAAATTTGACTGATTACATTCTTACACTTCTAAAATTCTTCCTATTCAAGTTTCCCAAGAAATATTTAAGGCCCAATTCCTTCCTTTTCTCCAACTACTCTTAAACCTAGATGTAATGCAGATCCTGGTAGTGAAACTTTATCATTGACTACATTCAGGTACAAAGTAAATTGCTGCCTATCTGAAGTGGCACTTCAAGGGAAAGAGGAAAGACGTCCTCTCCAGCTCACCAGTTATTGTAGGTGAAACAGAAACTAACACCCCCTCAGCTGGCAAAACACATTCCCCATGGAGCGATCCATCCACATTCTCCATAATTTCTTTTAAGACTTTGTCCTTATGATGGCACTGAAAAGACTGAACACAAGGCAATGGCACAGTTGGCTGAAAGTAGCAAAACAATAAGTGTTTAGCTCTCTGTTGATTTATAGTTATACATGTTTTTCTTTCTTCCATTCCATCATTTCTTTCAGCTTTAGAACTTTCTCAGTGAAAACAACTGAAGTTTTAAACTTTGACAAATGATAGATGCAAGGTAATTTCCTTCCTGAATATATATTTTAACATTTCTATATTTATTTCATGTCATTGCATTTCTTAAAAGTCTTACACACTCATTAATTCAAACTGATATGGTCAGCAATTTTCTTATTACTCAAAAAAAAAAGAGTTATACTTTAAAATGCATCCTGCTGGTTTGTGTTCATGTTTCATTTAGTGCACAGATGCACCACACGGCAATTTCTGACACATCTCTCATCAAATGGAAGAAACGTTAAATACATTCTATGTTTCACTTAGATGACGACTATGTATTACATAGCAGTTTATGATCTATTCCAGTGATTACCTTCACCTGGATATTTCTTTGCTCGTTCCTCAAAGAACCATTCTCCAGCCTTTACTTTAACATCTCTGGAAAACAATGAAAAGATATGTAAATCAACATGTTCCCAGGTGCCTTTCTTCAAATGTTTGGTAACTATTTAACAATACAACAATCTTTTTCATTCCTACCATAAAACTAAGGTTTCATGATTGTTCAATCCACTGACCATTTTTTTTGTGTGTCCAAAAAAAAAACGGAGGGGAGGAGCCTTTGGGAGGGAATTGTTTTAGTTTCGAGGGTTTTTCCTTTCTGCTGTGTAGGACTGCCCATGGAAAGTGATACATGCTGCTCTAGGCATTGCTCTGAAGCCAGGAGTCCCAGATCCACTCCAGTCTATACAACCAACTTGCAACACAGCCCAAGCACTTGTGCTGCCTGGCCTCCTGACTGCTTACAGTTGCAGCCTACTCTGAGGAGCAGGGAACATCAATAGTAGAGGACACGGTCCCAAGTAGGACTTTGGGCAGCTACCAGGGAGCACTGAGCTATCTTTTTATAAATCATTACTCTCTTCCAAACTATAGAAAATTACATCAAACTAGTACAAATTCATTTAGTTTAAGACTAGTACCTTGCCTTATATTTCCCACTATTCTAATCTCATTTTTTCCATCTTCAGAGAGAGTGAAGTGGTGGATTAATCTTGTGTTGGTATAAAATAAATTTGCATCCAAATCCTCACCCTTTGTACAGGGATATATATAATTCAGCACAGCTTTTGATTAATTTCCAAAACTATCATTCTTTGCCTACATATTATTTTTCATCAAATGTGGAAGCATTCTAAACCATTTGGTTTAGAAATATTCTAATAAATAGAATGGACTATGATGGAATATCTTGATATAAAAATTGCACCAATATAGTAAAAGAAAGATTGCTTCCTCTGTCCTAGAAAACAAAACTAAGGTGATATAGTAAAAGAAAAACTAACTAATTCAAAGTAAACAAATTTGGATTTCTGACCATGTTTGAAAAAAATCCTTATAATGTTACTGGCATTTTTTGCTTGTTAAATTTTTATAAAACATGACTAGTTAGTATTTATTGATCCAGGTTCCTCACTCCTGTAGTAAGAGGCAGAAAATAATGATTAGGAAATTGTCAAGAAATTGACTATACTACAAAGCACAGCACCTTCAGCAGCTTGTTAGGATGCACTGGTTTAATATTGAGTCAGGGGAAGGAGTTCTCTCTATGGTTTAGGCTGTTGCTGTGCTTTGCTGTTATAGACTTTGCCCCACTACCTCTTGCTTACCTTGAAGATCCATTTTGCTAAACACAGGAAAGGAAATCCTGACTATGTGAAGTATAGCACAAAGTTCCTACCTATTTCATTGTTACCAGGACTCCAGCCAACATTTTCATTACACCAGAGGCTTTGTTTCATTAATTGCTTAAGCAACAGATACACAAAACCAGTGGGCATCCATTGGATGACCAGTGTAAACCAGCATTTATCCAAACCAGTAAAGTTTCTTACCCATGAGCATAACAAATGGTGCATTTCCAAAGGCAGGGGTTCAGGCAGACACGGCATTCAGAGCATACTCGATGACTGCAGCCATTGCATACTGCCCCCCTGTTCATCAACAACCCAAGTGATTTGTGGCAGCGAGCACAAGACCTCTCCTGATATTCATGGCTTACATTTTTTGCCCCTTTCCACCGAAGCTGGTGTAGATGCAGTTTCAGTTTCCTAATCCCCCAGGTAAAAAGAAAGAAAAAAAGAAAAATTTTTTAAAAAATTAAATAGACCAAAATCCTCATGAAAGTCACAAGCTAATATCCTGGTTGTGCAGTACCATTACTCGTGGGAGACAGGCCCTCAAGTGTGACCTCAGTTGAGCACTGTCTGAAAGCATCCATACACAACATTTTTTCAGTGTGACTGTATATGTGACCAGAACTGTGCATACTAACAGAGAAACAGTTTAGTATAAATGCGGCTCTGATCATGTTAGGCATGCTCAGAGTAGGGCATCGAAATCATATAAGTGATTATGCACTGACTTAAGAAAACAGACTAAATGGTGCTCCCTTTCATTTGATGTTTTTTATCATAGTTATTCAAGAATCGATCTTCTATCATGTAAAAATAATCATAACAAATGCATCATTTGAAAGCTAAATAAAAAACTACACCAGCCCAAAAGATCAAAACCTCTCCTTTTCATTAACTTTGCTTCCATTACATGAACGAATAATCAAGATGTTTTAACTGCTACCCACACCATGAACTATAGAAAGGGATTTTCTGACCAATTCAGACTTTCTATATAATCCTTTACTTACTTTTCACTTAATTGTCTTCATTTAATATGTCCAGTAATACTTACATAACTGTTTGCTGTAAGCAAAGTTTAAGTTTCCACATTTCAGAGGCCAAAAAATTATATCTTATCCACACAAATACCTTGTTTACATGGGGATGCAATGTCACAAAGAAGGGTACAAGCTACAAGGAAATCCTTGTCCTAGCCATGATATAAAGCAAAAAAAGTACTGGAGAATTATCCTTTATCCTGTCCAACTGAGATACTTGCACAATGTGAAGTTATTTAATAAAATCCTCCTCCTGACCAATGGTACCTATTGACATCAGTAACAGCCTCTGAAACAGCATTGTGTGCTTACTGCCTGTTGTGTGTGAGAAGGGACAGTGATGAATTTTGCACAATGAGCAGGTATCCAATGATTCTTAACTCCAGTATTGGCACAACTTACGTTAAATAAGCCAGCCAAAGATCTGAACTTGTTCTGTGTTACCAGGACTATATATGCACATGTGGGAACATGATGAGAATGCCATAAAGCCTTCATAGAAAAAATATAGGCAGCAACTGAACTTTCTATGAAGGCTGAAAGTAAAATTCATCCAGTATGTTATTCACAGAACAGTATTTGCACATCTTTAATGTAGAGTCAATGGAATGGTACATTCCAGAGGCTCTGGATAACCCTTGGTTTTCCCAAAGAATAAAAAAACATTAGGTAACAAGAAGTTAAAAAAGGAGTACATCTGGAAGGACAAAGTGGAAGAAGAGTACTTCCAAAACAAACAAACAAACAAACAAACAAGAACGGAATACAGAAATAGGGAAAGAACACATACCTTATTCTTTCTTCTTCTGTTTTTCTCACCATCTCATCCCGGTACAGGACTTCCAGAACAGCCTCTCGTTCCAATTCCTTAAGGAAGTTCAAATTAAATTCACAGGCCATTTTCTCCGAATTTCACTTGTTCTGTAGACTCCTGTCCTATGGGTTCTACTATATTCCAGAACAATGGTCTGGGTGTTTACTAAGTGCCTGCGCTCTTACTCAAATGGTGATGTGTTTCACTGGGTCATACCCTTGAAAAGAAAAATAACTGTCCCTGTCTTCACACAAACCATCACTTAGGTGTCTCTGCAAACCAGGGAATATGAACAGTTATCAAGGTCACAGCAGTCTTGACTTTTTCACATCTTTAAACTTCCTGTTCTTTTCTTTTTTATTTCTTTTTCCACTGAGAGAGGGTCCAAAAGAGATGAGAGCTTGCAGTAGTGTCCCAGAGAGGGCTTTAACAGCCTCCAGATAGAGGGACAATTTGTCAAGAGATGGTGTAAAAGAGTGGGGGGGACTGGTTTGAGATTTTTTATTTGGTCTTGTTGATTTGGGATTTCTGGGCCTTCTGGGCCTAGGAAAAAAAAAAAGAATACATGTTATTATCTCTTCTCTTTACCTTCTCAAGACATTTAAAATAAGATGTGAAGAACACATTTTGCTATACTCAAACCTTTCATACACTAATTCAGATATAGAAGAGGTTTTAAGACAGCCCTGTTCTTCAAAGAGTCTCATCATACTGTTCATTAACACTCAGGCACATATCTTTGGCTTTTTTGTACAGTTAAAATAAAACAACCAATAAAAAAGCTTAAGTTATTTTTGACCACAGGCCTGCAGGTCCCATGACTGGAAAAGTCATAGTCCTTGTGACAAAATTTTTGAGGAAAAAAATGCCCCTTTCTAATCTCCTTTTATTGAAAAGACAAAACATCACAAAACTAAAAGGAAAAATATCTCTAAGGGTCGCTTTTATCAATTACCTCTGTCTTTTAAGTCTAGATAAACAGTTTAATACCAAATAATGCTATTCTCTTTTTTAATACACCAAAACACTAAAAAGTTATTTATTATTTTCAGCTCAGTACGCTAACAACTTTGGCCCCAAACCAAAGAAGTTTGTATACAAGAATATGAGAAGTATAAAATTAACACAGAATCCTAGCTGTAGTTTGAATGTATTCTGTGATCTTAATTTTTGCAGAACCCCTACCAAAATATTAAACAATTTTAATATACTTCACGGCAAAGTCAGGAGAGAAAATGGGTATTCAATCCAAACCAGCTTGGACATCACATTAATTTTCAATACTGCTGTCTAGTATCTAATGTGGATTACGAGAAATGTAAGAAAATTCTATTTATGGTACACCAAATATTAAAGATGTGTACATGAAAACTGGTTAAGCCTAATCTGGAGTAAATACACACAGTCAGGCTCTAGAAAAAAGGTCTAGATGCTAGGACAGCAGGGTAAAGCTTTCCCAAGGCAGTTGCTGATGTTTCACTGATGGACCTCAGCTGAGAATCTGAGCAACCATCTGTACTGCTGACACCATGTTGATTGCATTATTTTAAAATACTGAGTTAATTTTAAAAAAACCAAACAACCGAAAACTAAACAAACAAACCCTCACCCACTAAAACTTCATATATATAGTGACAATGTATTTTTGTCAGTGCAGGTAATTACTTCACATGCAGCTTGCTCCAAATACTTAATTTTCAGTTATCTAACTTCGCACCAAAAAAAGCAGAAGGTGATAACTATGTATTTATAAACAGCATGCATTCCATTCACGTATGATTTTTTTTTTTTGTGAAACCCTTCAACATACACCAAAAGGACAAAGCATTTCACAGAAGTAGTGTTAAAGGCTAAAAAAAAAAAAAAAAAAAAAAAGGAGAGAGAGATTGGTTTCCTGTGGAAACAAAAGAGACAGAGATAGGCATAATCATATTTTATTTCCTTACCAACTGCAATTTCACAGGAAATTACTCATTTGAAACATAGAAAGCCTTAGCAATTTTTTAACACAATATAAGTCACTTTCAAAGGCCCCTACATCCTTTAACTGCTTTCAGGGCACAGAGTTTTCCATATACCAAGACTGTTTTGAGAAATGTGCTTCAAAGGACATACAGAATTTTATTTAGAGGTGCACAAAACTAACAAACTAAACATTAATTTCAGCTATTCAAACTTGCACAAATTTTAACACTGAGATGGAAGGAAGAGCTTAGAGCCCCCCTTGTTTCTAATTTATCTTGCTAAAAGCTATTCCCCTGGGGAGACACAGTTTCTGCCCTATCCACGGCAGGATTTTCCAGAAATACATTCAACCTCAGCCCGTTGTTGATACTGCAAACATCAAAACCAGCTGATGTAATGTTACACTCCATACCCTATTCATAGTGATAAATCACAAGCCCTGAATCTAGTGCCAACAATAAAGTGCCAGTGGGGACCAGCATGGAAAGACTAGAATCATCTTCTGGTACTAAACAACTGAACAAACTTACTGCACAGAGAAGTGCCAGGGCCCTCCATCCTACAGCATTTGCCCTGTGCAGAGAGGGAAAAAGCCACCATGGCTCTCTCACCACTGGGCAAGATCAGCACACACTGCAGACAAAGCTTAAAATTCATCATGCAGCCAGCAACTCTAGCAATATTGCACCTGCACACTCCTAAAGTTGTTGGTTTTTAAATTTTCATGAAGATTTCAACTCTTACAGTCATTGTGTTCTGTCAATTTTTCTTGCACATCCAAAGGTAACTCAAAATCTGGCTTTATGATGAGGTAGCTTTCAGAATGAAGTATTATAAAAGCACTATAACTCCCCAAATGGGAAATAATTTTTGGTCTCACAACAGACTTGAACTTGTAATCATTCCACAGAAGCATTCAAATTGGACTCTAAAGCTCTCTACCACTGCAAAAGAAGAGCTTTTCTCTTATACCAAAGCTCTTTGCATTAGATTAGGTTTTTGGCAGTAATAAAGAAGTGTCTTCAGTAATGACCCTCTTTGACAGGAAGAAACAACATTATAAACCTTCACAGATGCCCTCCTTTCTTGTTTACTCATTGAATCCAGTTAGCTAGTTGTTCTACGTGATCGGCTAACCTCAAAGCTGAGCATCTTCTACGTAAAACCGAAATCAGCAGCAATGTCTTTAGTAAATACCATGACAATTCTTCCTTTTCAGCACAAAGTTCACATAAAACATTCTCTTTAAGCATTATTGTAAATTATGTATTTATTATTATTACATTATTTATTTTAAATTACAAATGGATCAGTAGCTTTTTGAAAATACCATATGAAGTCTCAAAGCCATGAAGGGAAAAGGAATAACCAACATGGCTATGCCTTAGGAGAAGGAGACATGAAGGCGTTGAGTACAATCTCAATAAAATATACTTTTTTCTTTTATATCAGCCTAAAATTATATATAGTTATGCAACTGAAGATCAATCAAGAGGTCTATCTAACATAAGATTAAGTTTGCAAAAGGTAGCTTATTTTTTAAGTTTTTAAACTTAGAAACACCTGACTTAGCAAGCTTTTCCTCAAAGCAATTTTACATGTAATGTATTATTGATCTCCTTTCAGATCCTTAACCATTAGCAAAATAATGACAATTTAATAAGTATAAATAAACTGATCTTCTAAAGTGACAGTCTTCATTGACTTGAGATAATTGGATTACTTCATCCATTAACCCAGAAAATAGACATAATACATCAGTAGCTAGGACACAGATTAAGAAGGTTCCGAGTAAAAATGAACACAAAAGCCACTGTAATTTGTGGGTATTTTCTATTCTGCTGAGGCCAATCTCATAAATTTATTCTTAGTTAAGAAAATTGCAAATGTTATTTTGTACTACCTGGCTGCAACGGTTTAATTTTCACATCCCTGCATGTGCACATGCAAATTGCTTATAAATCCTTTGATAATGCTTTACCAAAATTAAGTCTGTGGTAACATTCCACCCCAGAACTTAAAGTAAAAATAAAAACAAACAACAAAACCCAATGTAAACAATTAAGTTCCAGTTGTGGCTTTTCCATTAAACCCTTGCAGTTTGAAAAACATCATGCTAGTAGGTAAAAATGCATCCCTCTGTGCAATATCATACAGAATAGATTAAAACAATGTCCTTACCTCTTCAGCAGCCACCAAAGAAAGACACACGGAAGTAAACTGCTTTTAAAAGATGAGTAGCACTCTTATCTTTCCTTAAAGAAAACTGGTGGCTGTTCTCCACCTCCTTCATTTGGGCATTGATATCATTGATGTATAGTTTACAGAAGCATCCCCAAAACAACTAAAAGCAAATGCACTCAACAAAGAGTTCCAGTGTTACAAAAGCTTGTGTCAAGTCTCTGATTTTGTTACCAGCCACAAGCAAAGAGAAGATATTAATTTTTCTAACGTTAAAAAGAGACTCAGCACAAGAGACTATAAAAGCTGACTGATACATTAAAATATGCTCAGTCTTCAAGCCACACGCACAGGAAGAGAAGTGGCTTTGAGTTCTACACAGTTTCTTTTTCTGATACTATAGATGTGAAAATGCTTCTAACCTCAACGTCTCCAGGACTTGCACAGAAAACTCGTAACTTTGTAGCGTAAGCAGTTCTTTCCTGGAAACAAAAGTAGTTTTCTATTTAGGTCTAGATAACAAAGCAATTAGAATAAACAATAGTTCAAAACAATTAATTTTTATGCACCTGCAAAAAGAAGAAAGTTATTTTTCCTCACAACTGGAAATTTGATCTCAGGTAACAACTGAAAGTTAAAATATTATTTGGATTGGATATCCCAATTTAGTCTATTACAGAACTAAGTGTGGGTAATGAAGTTAAAATTACATCCCAATTATTTCAAAGTCTGTTAAATAAAAGAGGCTATTCTTACAGAGCAATCTCCTTTCTTGTTCCTGGCTCTACCAAACTGTATGTACAACACAGAAGCACTCTTAGTGTTCCAGGTGTTTTAAGATTCCTTATTTCCAGTTATAATTAAACAAAGCAGAGCAATTCTACTCACATGGCAAAGTTTAAGAGCCTACATTTTTATAACGTCATGAAGTTAAATAGGT